TTTTTTTTTTACCTACCCACCCATTAAAAAATACATATTTTAAAATTGTAATTCTATAACACACGATTTTCAAAGCACATTTCATTAATTTGGTACGTACCTGTTGTATTAGGTATGTGTTTTACTATGATTATCATTCAAATATTTTATTATTTTTGGTGGTTGAAGGTTGAATGATTCAAATAAATTAGTCTCGTTGGGATATTGGAGGTAAACCGAAACGTCCGAAACCAGTAGCTATCCATGATAAATTGGTAGGTACCTACTATAGTTATAAATATTATGACGTTAAGAAAAAAAAAATTACCTGACGGCCGGGATGGTCCGCGGGTTGTGTAATAATATTATTCTTACAATAATAGTAAAACCGAGTAGGAGTCGCCGGCCAGCCGCCGAAACGAAAGAGCAGAGTTCACTAGCAGCTGATAACGAACCGCCGATAATGTAACTGATAACAAATAATAAAAAATACAAACTGAACAGTGAACACAAACACTGATTATCGAGTACGAATTGGAATTATTTAGAGTTTAGACGTTGCACGAATATAATATAACGACTGAAACGTTCTGTGAAATTTTATCGTCGAAACTTCCTATAAAACGACGTCGTCTCATTGCGGTGCACATRCCTAATATTGTGTACAATGTGCACTGCACGGTTTTTTATTGTAATTTTTTCTCCGGAATAATCATGTGAAAAACGATTAGGCACATTTAGTCTAGCGATACGGACCGGCCGCACCGTCGTCGTCCGGCCCTATCCGAAAACCGATACGACATGACAGTATTGTGCCGTGTTCTTAGAAAATGTTATGATGATGATGATGATCGTTACTGAATAATATTATATCGTCATGATAACACGTAATGAAAAAAGCAATGGTATATTTATATCGTTGTGTGACATCCGTACGTCGAACCACGAAGTATTTTAATTTTAATATTTTTTTAGCTACTAGTCACGTAGAAAAAAAAATCCGAAAACGTTCCAAACGATGTTGGCAAGTTGGAATATCATCTATAATAATAATAATAATATTAATATAACGCCATTTTATTTAAAATTAACAATTTTAGTTCATACCCTGTCTGCGAATGTGATCATGCGTGTGTATTGATATTTGTTTTTCTCTTTCAGATTGTCCCTGTGCTGTGATGACAAATGGATGTCATGTTCCTGATTGTCATAACCGTGTTGCTGGTGATTGCAGCAATATTGTTTGCAGTGTCCAAAAAGTACGTGGTGGAAAAACTGAAACAAGAAACCAACGCAGACTTTCAAAAACTCCAGAGACGTTACTTGACTGTGTACTGCTTGGCATGTTTTGCTGATTGGCTGCAAGGACCGTATGTCTATAAATTATACAAGCAGTACGGCTATGATGAAGGAGAGATYGCTGTCCTTTTCATTACTGGCACAATATCCAACAGTTTATTTGGTACCATTACAGGAGCACTGGCTGACATTTATGGCCGTAAAATGCTATGCATTTCTTATGGTATATTATATTCTGGGTGTTGTATGACAAAAATGTTTGGGAACTTTCAATTATTGCTTGTTGGACGCATGTTGGGAGGTATAAGCACATCTATTTTGTATTCAGCATTTGACTCGTGGTATATCAATGAGCATATAAATTATCATAAGTTGCCAGAAGAATGGTTGAATAGTACATTTGCCAAAGCAACTTTTTTTAACGCTACACTTGCCATACTGGCTGGTTTGTTGTCTTACTTCTTAGTGAGCGTGTTAGAATATGGACCTGTTGCTCCTTTTATAATGGCCATTCCATTTCTCATAACTTCTACCATATATGTTATCTCTGTGATAAATGAGCATTACGTTCGCAACACAAAGTCGGCTTCAGCGTCAGTGAAAAAAGCTGTTATTCTATGGATGACAAATAAAAATATCTTTAGCCTTAGTGTTGTTCAATCATTGTATGAAGGTGTCATGTACTTGTTCATATACATTTGGACCCCTACATTTGACGTGTTAAAAGACTCAAAACCACCTTTGGGGCTAGTATTTTCAAGTTTTATGTTAGCTCTGATGATAGGTTCAAAAATATATTCAATATTATTAGGAAATAGTTTTCTAGATTCAAAAAAACAACTACAACTGGCTACATTTATAGCAAGCTTTTCATTTTTAATTTGTGCCTTGACAATATCAAACATATTTATTGATTACAATGGCCAACAAAAATACTATAAGGTAATGATTTGTTACTTTTTTTTCTTACTATTTGAAATCTCTATTGGTATGTACTTTCCATCTATGACATATTTAAAGAGTCAAGTAATACCAGAAAAAATTAGAGTTACTATATCAAATGTAATTAAAATACCTAGCAATCTTTTTATATGTATGGCACTTTTATGGATATATTGTAAAGAACCAAAAGAGAAAACTATATTAAAAATTGATGAAAATCAAGAACCTGATGTAGATTTTATTTTTACAATTTTTGTTGTATGTTTTATTGCAACATTCGTTACATTTATATTTTCTAAAATATTTTCTAAGTTTCACACTGAAACCTACAAAGACATAATTAAACGTCATGAAATTGAAGTATAAATATGTCCATAACTATATTATTATTCATATAATAATATAAATTATGTATAGTTAATCGGGTACTGATGATTAATTTAAAAGTAAATGAATTTAATATGAGTTACCTACTTAATTTATATAAAGTGCTTAATATTATTGATTTTTGATTTTATGTTTAAACCAAATTAAAGTATCATAATATTATGATTCATGTCTGATTTATAAACATGTATATTAATCAAAACAATTTTTATTCTAAGCTGAGATTGCAAATGACAAAAAAAAGTATAATTTGCATCATTTATGTGTTAGTATATGTTAATAGTAAATATAAAATTGGTTACCAATGTATACGTTTTAAACTATATTAATTATTGACTAGTTATAAATTTATCTCAATAACATAATAAAAAAAAAATCAAGTAGATTTATATTTGTGAATTTTTCAGCTCAACAAATTTTTTATAATAATCTAATAATTTGTTACAAATATATATATATATATATATTACTTTTAAAATATTTAGAAATATTATTTAATAGACACCTCTAATTATTATCAATAGGGTTCAGATTTGAAAGCAAAAACTTTTCTTTTAATAATCATAATAGAAAAAT